TCTCTTACTCCGCCATGACTACGCTGGTCCGGTTTATTATTCACAGAGTACAGTAAGGCAGTGGTGCCAATAGGCAGTACATTATAGACACCACATCAGTCTCTTATAACAAGAATAAAAGCAAAAGTTTTATGGCCACTAGAATAATACAAAAATAGAAAAGTAATAGGAACATATAGAAAAATGATTACATAACGATTAAACTGAGTATAAAAGCTTCTATATAAAAGTAAAGCTTGACAAGATAACAATACAATCAATAATGACTAATACAATCTTTGGGTTACTCAGTCACAAAATCTTTGAAGTACAGAGGACGCTGTCGCAGCCTTCCTCCACGTCGCGGTCCCTCCCCGCTCTTCTTCGGCGTCTCGGTCATCTTCTGCTCTTGACCAACTCCCTCTCCCGTCTTGGGCGAGCCCGATGGACGCGGTGTCTCCGCCGTCTTCTGAGGCCGGTCTTCCCCCAAAGTACCCGAGGGTGACTTCTCCACAGACTCGGTGTTATTGTTCGAGTCTTGCTTCGCCTGAACTGGCGTCTTCAAAGGTGAAAAGAATGAAACGTTCCTCTCCAGAACGTTCCCCGTCGGCGTTTTCACCACCACCGACGATCCCTGGCGATGGATCACAGTTGCTGGATCTGGGTCTCTTGGTGGATCCGTCTTGTTATTCCTATTTTCATTTTTCCTCAAGACCTGATCTCCCACTTGAATACCTGACTTCTCAGCATGCCTCTTTTTATCCGCATAAGATTTGGATTTCCACTTATTCAAGGCTTCTCTTTCTCGAACTTCTTCCATACACCACTTAGCTTCCTTGCTTTTGTCTAATAGTGGCAGTTTTGTCAACAGTGGGCGTTTACTAAAGAAAAGCTGAGCAGGTGGTACCCCAGTCGTGCCATGCGGGGTATTATTGTATGCATGCACATAGGTCCATAGCTCCCTAGTCCACTCACTCTTGGTGCCCTGTGCTATTTGCAGGCGCTTGAGCAGGTTTCTGTTTTGCCTTTCCACCTCTCCATTTGCTTGAGGCCACAAAGCTGAGGCATGGACATGAACTACTCCCCAAGTCCTCAAAAATTCTTGAAATTCCCGGGCTTCAAAACAGGGACCATTGTCAGATGCAAGCTTCTCAGGTCTTCCCCACTCCCAGAAAACCTTTTCCAAAATTTGTATTGTAGATTTTGCTGATTCATCTTTAGCAATTTCCACCTTAAGGTATCGACTAAAATAATCCACCATTACAAGCAGGTGATAAGTTTTGAAAGAAAAATAGTCGACACCCATATACTCCCAAGCATGAGCTGGCATTGGGGTTGAAACTAATGGTTCCGGAGTGAAATTCTTGTTTATCAATTGACACCCAAAACAAGTAGCTACAAAATCTTCCACACATTTGTCAACTCCCATCCACCAAACCTTCAATCTGAGTGTTTGCTTGGTGGCTGTGATTCCCAAATGGCCTTCATGTGCCAAAATCAACACTTGCAGCTGCAAACTTTTAGGGACCACAATCTTATCTTCTTTAGCTAGCAGCCCATTACATTCAGCCAACTGTGGCTCTAAAAGCTGGTACGCACTGAGCTCCTTTGGCCACCGTCCAGATCGCAGAGACTTGATCACCAACTGCAGTTCTTCATCTTCCCCTGTAGCTTGCCGAATCGTTTCCAATGTCATGGCTGCAGGGACTCTCTCTTCTAATAGTTGCAAAATTTGTTTTTCTTCATCAGCTGCCCTACTTCTGACCTCCTTTGCTTGTCCTGTTGGCAACAATCTTGAAAACGGGTCCGCTAAATTAGATTTCCCCACTCTGTATTCAATTGAAAACTGGAATTCTTGTAGGCGCAGAGCCCACCTTGAAACTCTCATGCCAGCCACTTTAGTTTTGGCATGATTATTGAATATAAATGTCAGTGGTTTATGATCAGTTATCAACTTAAACTGTCGACCCAGTAAATAAAACTGCAGCTTCTCACATGCAAAAACCAGAGCATACGCTTCCTTTTCGGTCTGAGAATATCTCTGCTCTACTTCAGACAATGCGTAACTTGCATACTTGATTGCCACCGGCTTGTTTTGCTGGTATTGAACCAATAGGCACCCCAAACCCACCGGTGATGCATCTGCAAACACCAATGTTGGGGCCTTAGGGTCAAAATACCCTAACACTGGCTTTGAAACTATTTTTAGCTTTAAGGTTTCAAAGGCTTCTTGTTGCTCACTCTTCCAGTCATAAGTGACCTTCTCCTTCAGTAACCTTCTCAAAGGGGCGGTCAAAGTTGCAAAATCAGGGATGAATATGGAAAAGTAGGTAACCAATCCAATAAAGCTGTGAAGTTCTGTCTTGTTTGCAGGGCTTCTAAAATCTTGCACTGTTTTCACACTCTCATTTAAGGGTTGGTAACCCTCACAGGTCAGCTTGCACCCCACAAAATCCATCTCAGTCTTTCCGATACTAGTCTTCTCATAATTTAGGGTCATCCCTTTCTTCTGAATGGTCTGGACTGCATTCCACACCAACACATTATGAACCCACACATTTTTACAATGGATTAACCAGTCATCAATAAAAATTAGAAAACAATCTTCCATCACTTTTCCTTCTTCTGATAATTTATTTACCACCTTTTCTTTAGTATCCTGTGGTATATTCTTGATAACTTCTTTCTTCATATTTTCCATTGTCTTCTGACAAATCTCTGCCGCCACTGACAGCCCAAATGTCAGCCTTTTAAATCGGAACATTCCAAAAGGTGTTACAAAAGTAGTTAAATGTCTCACCTTTTCATTTAGAGTAAACTGCAGATAGCACCACTTAAAATCCAGGGAGGAAAACAGTGAGTTGGCAGAAATTTTTGCCACCATTTCTTCTCTTGTAGGGATAGGATATACTTCCCTCAGCAACACTTCATTGACTGATCTCAAATCCACCACCATGCGCCAACCCTCCTTCTTTTTTGGCACCAGATGAGGCAGGCTAACCCATGTAGTAGGACCTGATGCTGGCTCAATAACATCATTTTCTAACCACTCATCAAGACACTTCTTCATGGGTTCTCTTCTTCCCACTGGGACAGGACGCAGTCTCTTCACCACAGGGTTACAATCTTCTTTGGTAAAAATCTCTACATCCCCCCCGTTGTATTTCCCAATCTGACCAGAAAAAACTGACGGAAAAGTCTGTTTCAACTCACTTACTTGAATAGGGGCTAAGTGATATTTTCCTTTTACCTTGTCAGTTGGCTCTTCTTTTTTCTCTTTGTCTTCTTCAGACACAGCATTGATGAGTCCTCCTTTAATATCAATTTTAAGGAAACCCAACTCCATTGCTAACACTCTGCTCATAATAGGTACCACATTCTTTTCCATATCCACAATTCGAAATCTCACATTGCTTATTTTCTTCCCATTACAAGCTTCGACATCAGCCAACAATTTTCCCACAATATTTAAATGGTCATCTCCCCCGTAATTAAACACTGATTTATCTTTTTCTTCCACATAGGTTCCCTGAACACCTGTTGACTTCAACTTTTTCCACCACTTGATTGGGATGGTATTCACCTTCCTAGATCCAGAGTCCACTAACATATCCAGGTCTGCACCACCCACTTTTACTTTCACTGTGGCTTCTGGGTCGTTTAAAGATGTATTTGAACTGATCATGAAAGCGAAGTTGGGGCCCTCCTTGTTCGGCTCTTCTTCTTCAGAATCCTCGTCCCCACTCTCTGAATCTTCCTCCTCTTCACTCTCCTCTCTCAAGTTCCTCACAGTATCCTTTCCTTTTCCACGATTCTTTTTCTTCTTGGGGCTGCTGTTATCATTATCATCACTTTTGGCCTTCCCTTTCGACCTACAAGCCACATCCAAATGATTCATTCCGCTGCATATTTTGCACTTTTTCCCCCAAGCTGGGCAAGTTGAACTCTTGGCGAAATGGCCCTTCCCATTGCATCTGAAGCATTTTCTATTATCAGAACCTTTATTAATGCTGAGTTTACTCACATCAGGCGGCCTAACCTCACTCTGCTGCTCCGCCCGCTGATGCAATCGAGCCTCTTGTTGGACATCCTCAAGGGACAGCGGCCCAGACATAGCTTTTTTGTAGCAGTCTTTACGGACCTCCGCCCACGGGACCCCCTTGAGCAGCTGATCGCGAAGTTCACGTCGTAAATCCGCAAATTCGCATCTTGAAGCTTGCTCCCGTAGCCGGGCGACAAACGCATCCACCTGCTCCCCACTGTTCATGGTGAGGGCCCGAAACACCTCTGTTTCGTAGGGCACGTTGGTCTTAGGCAAAAAGTAAGCGTCCAGCACTGCCATCATTTGATCAAAAGCATCGGGCGCAGCTGCAGCACCCGGTACCATCGCCGGCGGCTGCGTAATATCAATGTCTCCCACCAATTGGAAAAACACATCTTGGACCTCGGTGCCCGCCTTGGACAGAAACTTGGCCCTCTTGACCACAGCATCATTCAATTCGGCGCGGCCCAGTGCCCACAAATTAAAACTTCTTTTCCACTTCGTCCATTTCGGACCCGCAGACGTTGGGTCGTCGCAAAACTTGAACGGTGGTAACTTGCTTTCTTCCATCTCGCGGTCCCTTGCTATGACGCTGCCGCAGGTGCACTTTCTTTAGATAGACGTAAAGTCACAAGCACACAAAGTTCTCTTGAACGTAGTCACTCGAACGAATCTCCACACTTCACTGAGTTCACTTCCTCGTCGCCATTGTAATATTCCAAGGGAATATAGGGTTTAGAGTTAAATAATATCAGAGCTCCAGTATTTTGCTTTGTTCTCTTACTCCGCCATGACTACGCTGGTCCGGTTTATTATTCACAGAGTACAGTAAGGCAGTGGTGCCAATAGGCAGTACATTATAGACACCACAGGAAAGTTGACATTGACATTTATGAAGCTCGTCAAATTGGTGGAAGACTTGCAACTGTTGATGTATCTGGGCGCAATTATGAAACAGGCGGCTCTATCATTCATCCCCGTAACAAGTATATGGTGTCTTTTGTTAAAAATTTTGGTGGGTTTTAAACTGGTATGGCCATCAACTGTGTTCTTCCAGGTATTAAAATAATCTTATTACGTTTTGTTTAAACGCAGGATTAAAAGTGAGAGAAACAAGTACCGGATCTCGTATGGGGCTGTGGGATGGTGGTAAATTTGTATTTGAAGAAAGTTCTTGGGAACCTATAACATATTTAAAAATGCTGTGGCGGTATGGATATGGCATATTTAAATTAAAGAGCTATATAGATGACATGTTAACAAAGTTTGAGAGGTATGTAAATATCATAAATTATACATTCACATTTCTCAATTTTTGGGGTTTTTCATTTTTTTTTCTGTTGTGACATTAGGTGACATTAAAAGACTTCTTAGTTGTTGTACTGTTTTTTTTTTTATTATTATTCAGTATCTATTTACTCCAAAACAAAGGAGAAGCATTCTGGACTGTGAGTGATTTACTGAAAGCCATGAATCCTCAGTTTGAAAATGATCAGAGAATAAAAACTGGCTTGGGATTTAAAAAGTTGGGATTTTCTGATTTATTGGTGGATGAAATTGTTGCTGCGACAATACGAGTAAATTATGGCCAAGACCTTATGGTGCACAAATTTGTTGGTATGTTTCACACCAATAAGTATGCCATTCCGGATTATGTCAGGCCTACTTGTCCAATGAAATTTACTGCTTTCAGGTTCTGTCTCTGTTGCTGGGGCTACCGGAGATTTATGGGCAGTAGATGGTGGTAATTTCCGCGTCGCAGAGAAACTCTTAGAGGCCTCTGAGGCTCAGTTAGTAAGAGATAGAGTTGTCAAAGTATCAACAGCTAACAATGGCAAGCTAATTGTTCGAAGACAAGGTACAAATGTTGAAAATGATAAAAGTGATTTGTCAAGGGTAAGTTTTCCTCCTGTCTCCCTCTTCAAAAGGAAATCGTGCACTAGTGGTTTTAAAACAAAGTTAATCAAACTTTGTTATATTTGTTGACAGGCCTATGATATTGTTGTACTTGCCGCACCACTCCAAACTAATTCAGACTCAAGCATTGACTTGTCAGAATACCCTGATAAGGGATGGCCTGGTCCTTATCACCATACTGTTAGCACAGTTCTCCAAGGAAAATTAAACCATTCATTTTTTGGATATTCAGAAGATGAGGCTATGCCTGATGAAATTTTGAGCACTACAGGGGGTTTGTTTTTTAATTCTGTCAGTAGGATTCAACCAGTGGATCTCACCAACAAAGAAAGAATATCTGATGTGTGGAAAGTTTTTTCTCCTGTCCCTCTATCTGATAGCGAGTTAGATTTGCTTTTTATTAAATATAACAAAAACTCTGTTAAAGTCAATGATTGGTTAGCATATCCTCACTATGCAAGACCACCTTCTTGTAATCACTTCCGTATTCACAAAAACTTCTATTATCTTAATACCATTGAGTGGGCTGCTAGTGCTATGGAAATGAGTGTGATTGGTGCTAAAAATATTGCTCTTCTTGCTCATAAAAATTATTTTAATGAACCCGTTCGAGCTGCTAGACATTCAAAGGCAGTTCATGGTCTTGAGGGAAAATCCGATGATGAATTGTAAAGTACTGAAGCCTTGATTGATATTTGTGTTAATTCTGTTTAATGGTAAAGACTGACAGTAATTACTGCTCTTGATGTGGTGATAAAACCAGGTTCACATTTAAGTGAATTATAATTTGTGATATAGAATGTTAGTGTTAGGATTTGTGAGATAGTACAATTTGCAATCTGTTCTTTCCTCATCCTTTGAGCCAACCTCCTCCCTTTCTCAGTTGTCTTTGTGTACATATGCCCTTTCTTTTTGTTTGATGCAGCTAATGAAGTACAATGTATACTACTGTTTTGTGTTGGAATAACACATTTTATTAGTTCACTACCATTTATGTTGTACATTTTATGTACCAATAAAGTAGTGGCTGTACAAATTAATTACATTTCATTCTATCCACAAAAGAAAAATAACACAAACACAAACTGGTATTTTATAACTGGTCATCAAAAATAAATAATCACAGTTTAAGAAAGCACACACATTTCGTACTTTACAGCAGTTCTTATACTCCCCCAGTTAGGTGAGACTAGTTGTTGGTCCTATAAAAAGATCATTCTGCCAATAATCTTCTAGAATATTAACTTCTTGGCTAATGAACCTGAAAATTAAAATAAGATTTAGAGAGATGTAAATTTTTTCATGAGAAATTAAAATTATGTTAAAACTCACCTCCATCTACTGCATCTAAAAGCTTCCTCTTCAAACTTGGTCGTTCTTCTTGTTTTCTATTAATAGAAGAGGGTAGGGGAAGCTGTGGTCCAGGTGTCGGTGCTGGTTTATTACTATAACATCATAAAAAAATCAGTATCAGTAACATGCAACCAGATTCTTTAAATTTAAGCAACCTCTGAGACAAACCTGAAATACTCCATCTGCAGTGCTTGTTCACATGTACACCGTCCTAAAGGATTCACAGTTAATAAGCTTGAGATAAGATGTAAAAGATCATCTCCAGCTGCTGAGAATATATGCCTTAAAGGTTGACTTGGCATAGGTTTGAACTGAATGTAGTCTTGCAGTAATGTTAGCCCCTAACAAAGATAATACATATGTACAGGATCACAATAAACACACGTCATTTTTCTTTTTAAGCTTCAGAAAAAATAAAAATTGATTTTACTGGCCAAGACTCTTCGGTTGGAGTTCCCATCACAGAAAAAATGCGGGTGAGTTGATCAAGATCAGTTTCCCCCGGAAGGAATGGCACACGTAGGAGCAATTCTGCAAGAATGCATCCCAACGCCCAAATATCAACACTGGTTCCATACATTCTAGCGCCATAGAGAAGTTCAGGAGCTCTACAAGAAATAATAGCAATTAAGACAGGGACTGTGATAGATGAATATAGCTGTTCAGTAAAAAAAATTATTTACGTAAATGTAATTACCTGTACCATCTGGTCACAACCTGATGTGTGTACACTCTATTAGGTGAGCCAAAAAATTTAGCAAGGCCAAAATCTCCTATCTTAAGAATTCCTTCACTATTAACAAGCAAGTTATTTGGTTTCAAATCCTGTAGTTTGAGACAAATGACTTTAGACCTTTTACACCTGGTTATGAACATTACAATCATTTGAATTTAAGTTGTGAACTCACTCTGTGTAGAATCCAGTTGTTATGTAGATATTCTAGACCCTGTAGTGTTTGAAGCATGTAGGACTTAATGTTAGCAGGACTCAGCACTATACTTGTATCTTTTATTACTACTTCCATGTCATAGTCCATGAAGTCAAACACCAATGAGACATTGGACATATGACCAAAGACATCTAAAAGAAAGAATCAAATGATACACAAAAGATACAATAGGTTATACCATATTAGTAGCGTGTAACACAAACCCAAAAGGCCAATGATATTTTGGTGATGCAACTCCTGAAGTAATTTAATTTCTCTAAGTGCAGTACGGTGAATGCCATCCTTAGCATCTGCTCTTGATCCAATTTTGATCTGAAATAAAGAAAATTGCAAATACATGGGTTTAGACACGCGGGTAAAAAAACAATAATAATCAAAACAGGAAAACACGATTGCTTTCAAGCACAGACCTTTTTAACTGCAACTATATTGTCTGAGTGTGTATCTCTTGCTTTATAAACAGTTGCAAACTGAAATGGAAGTAAGACAAAGATAAAAATTTTGCAAATTTTTCAAGTGTGAAGTAAGAATATTAACTATAATAGTATAATAATTCAAGGAATTAGGAAAAGGTGCCCAATTAATTCAACGTCAATAAGAGAGGTCAACAAGCAAGCATAAATTTTAAGGGGAAGTTTTATCACTAAATATGACAACCTGTTGAAGACTAAGTAAAAGCAAGCAACTCCATAACGACCAAAATCTCTGTGACACTTCAAAACGAACAAATAACTAGAGTGATTCAACGAATTTCTTAACTATGTCTTTAAGGACAATAAGTAAAGGAAAACCAAGAATAGCCTATTGCAGATGCACCGGCCTTCGAAAAAAGGTTATGTTTACTTCAGTTTACGGCACCCACAGGGCCGAGCTGTTTTTCACCATCGACGTACCTGTCCCTCTCCCAGGAATTCAATTTTTTCGTATCTCCGCAACCTATCCTCCATATTATGTGAGGAAAAAACCACAATTATCAACCAAAATACAAAGCCGAAGTGTCGAACCACTGCTGAAATGGACAAGGGAACTCAGCTGACTGCACACAGCGGCAACCACAACGCAACTGCACGAGGAGGAGGCGCAGCAGATATGAGAAATTTTAGCGGGAAGGTGGAAAAGGGTGAGGAGGGGGAGTGGACCAAAAATGATTTTTCCGACCAGTAGTTGAAAAGTTGTGTCCGTTCAAAGTTGACCAATTTGAAATTAGCGTCCTCAAGAAGTAGGATTTTCGGGCACTTAATTGGGGGCCTAATGGAAAGGCCGATGTTACCCTCTCCAGTATCCCCTCCGTAGCAGTGCATCCAAAAGGGCAGGCTGTTGCGGGCTACTTCCTCCTCCTCCCATGTTAAAGCATAGGCGCCGAAAAAAGAAGCCCGCAGCAGCCTGCCCTTTTGGATGCACTGCTCCGTAGCCGACACTTAAAGATAGCGCCTGCAACGCGCGGGGTAGGCCAACCCGCCAAGCAGTTGTGTCGCGACGGTGGCCGCCCTTTGCACCCAGGTGGGGGTGCCAGCCAGGCCAGGACCCGGTGCAGGCTTCACAAACTGCATGTTACAATTGAATAAACTGTCCTTTTCCATTAAGAGTGTTGACATCAATCAGACGTCGTTTCCACTTTCAACGTCCAATCAATTTTTCTCACAACAGGGATTAGGGGATTTAGTGGTTTTGAGAGCTTCAATAGCATTGGGCGCTTCTAGGGGTGGAGTGTTGGGGGAAGGAAACAGGTGACAACCCTGAGAATAAACAAGAAAAGAAAAACAAGGCTTCTAATTTAGTTGATGGGGATTCGGCGAGGGGCTCAGGCTTTATTCCTGATACCATTGATTTCAGTACAAGTAAAAGTATAAGTTTCAGGATTATCAATATTTTGTCTTAATTTTAAAACATGCTAGTACCCCCAAAAAATGTAAAACAACCATTTCGTCAATAAACTTTAATAAAGAGGTCTCGGAAAACATACCAAGAATACAAAAGTTCTGTTTATTACATATTGTACTGTTTGGTGGGGTATGTACCATACTTAGTTTTGATTATTACTATCACAAAAAACCCTGTCTGCAATGCTCAAATTCATGCTTCGTTAAAATTTCAGAAAAATAACCGCAGAAGGCACTTTATAGCTACAATTACACCCTGTTGGGATCATTTCAAACCAACAACGTAAAATAAAACTGTAAAATACATTTTAAAAAGTGTAATGAATCCCAGAATGCACACTAGCAACAGCTGAAAAGTAGTACTAGACACACCAAAATTTTCTATTGACAGCATCGTCATTGAACTTTTTTGTTCATTGGATGACTTATTTTAAGTCTTTGAGCTAGCAGGTTTTCCATGAAATAAACTTACACTCTTGAGTTAACAGACTGTCAAATATAAAGCTTGTAAGGGTGAAGTTGGGCTTGAATAAAATTCATTATCAAAGATATCAACAACAAAATATAAAAAGGAAAATAGTTAGAACCTCACATGGCTATCTGACAATCCTGGCAAGTTTGACAAATGATTACTTACATTACTATCTTTTGATAACTAATAGGTCACATCTTGTACTGTGACTCATTTCAAACAAAATTAAATGCAAAAGATACATATCTCTAATGCCCTTTGTGATTTAAATAAGTACTGACAGTGGAATGCTTGTATATAGGACTTAAAGGTAGGAAAGAGGTGCACACTTTTCAGTCTAGTCTGACTAGGTCTATGCAGCAGGTTCTTGATGTGGTACAACAACCCATCCATCTTCTTGACTACCACCTTGCCTGCGCCGGATAAGGTCCAGTTGACGGTTAAGGTTTTGGTGCAATTGTACAAGATTTTCCTGGGGAGCAAAACAATAGGATTAGTAAGAGAAAAATCTGAGTAATTCAATTGAGTAATTTAAGTGAATGTATTCTGCATTAACAAAAGGTACCTTTTCATTGGTAAGCTTGCGCAGCAGCTCCTGCTGTTGTTCAGTGTCCTGTTGATCCAACTGACTTAGCCCTTCAGCCTCACTTAACTTCTCCATCAGATCCATCTTGTACTTTGACAGATAGGCCATTTGCGTTTGTACTGTGAGGTACTCCTGGGCGAGCTGCAATAGTGATTTTAAAAAAAGGGGATGTATTACACCATTGGAAGGCGTCTTGGCGTGACTGGCGCAGACTCGGGCACCGGGCGCCTGGCGGGTAGGCAACCCACTTCGAGCACGCGCACGCACGTCACCGTGTTGCCTATCCACCCTTAAGCAGGCGTCCCCGGCTCGCGAGGCTCCCCTTGTCGTTGTAAGCCACGACGCCTGTTTTAAATCACGCTGCCCACACACAATCATGGAGTGAACGATGGAGTGAACGATGGGGTGAACGTGACTAACCTGCTTGTGCTCCGTGAAAATTTGGAGGGATTGCTGGCAGCTTGCGACTGGTTCGACGGGGCGGAGCTGGTTGTCCAACATTAAGTGCACGTTGTCAACTTCCTCCTGGCCACCGCCTGAAACACACGTTAGAGTGAGGAGAGTCGGTGGAAGGGCGAGGATTCGTCAACCAAAACCCCAACCGGAGTCTCTGTTCTGTCTTTGTGAGCGAGGGCGAGCAAAGAGAGGCGAGGTGAAGTACTTGCCGCGCCACGCCAGCGCCGGCCCACAACTGGCTGGGTGAATACGCAAGGTGCGACGAGAGGGGGAGAGAAGGGGGTGGCGAGGGGAAGGGGGCAGGCTGACTGTTCTCCCGTCAACAAACCCCGACGCGACGGGTAGCACGAGCATGTACAGCAGAAAGGGGCCACAGAGTGCAGCGGCCAGACACCCGCGGAAGAGGACACACCGTGGGGAGAAATGAACCCCATAACCGAACGAGAACAAATCGGCTG